ACTTTAGAGACTTGAGTGGTGGCAACATGTTGGAGAAACATGTCCGGTGGGCATGGAGGTTCCCCTTAGCAATTATCCTGAGAGCTGTAAAGAGATTACCTGAAGGGTTCCCCACTTAAGACGTTAACGTCCTGTAGTTTCTGCCTCGGCCAGGCTGGGGAAGGAGGGAGAATGGCGGGGCGGGGTGTGCACTAGAAAGTAATGTCATGTAGGTATTTTACATTTTATTTTTTTTATCCTCACCCGAGGACATTTTTCCATTTTTTGTTCAGATAGAGTGGGAGGGAGAGAGAGAGGGAAGGAGGGAGGGAGAGAGAGAGAGAGAGAGAGAAGAAGAAGAAGAGAGAGAGAGAGAGAAACATCGACGTGAAAGGGACACATTGAGTGGCTGCCACCCGCACGACCAACCAGGGCCGGGGACAAACTGCAACCGAGGTACGTGCCCTTAGCGGGAACCGAACCCGGGTCTCTCTGGACCGTAGGTCGATGCTCTAACCGCTGAGCCAAACCGGCCAGGGCAGACTCCTCATTATAAAGTGGGGTGTTCAATGCCTAACCGAGAAGAATTTGTGAGAATTGAGCCTAAAGGTTTGGAAATCACCTGACATCCCTCCTGAGTGTTCTCACTTCATTTATCCGACAAGCATTCATGGAGGACATTTGTGTGCTCAGCAGCCCAGCACCGGGTCCAGCCGGCCCTTCCCTGGTGCGCACACCTTCCCCAAACCTGCAGGGTCCCTGTGAGAGGCAGCCGGTGCCCTGATCCGCTTTACAGCGTGAAAGACACTTCGTGGAGAGAGAGGGTTCCTTACGGTATTTCTTCTTTCAAGATTATTAAGATTATGATTTCAAAAGAACTGTCTTCTTTTTTTTGGATATTTTCCCATCGATTTTTAAAGACAGAATGGAAGGGAAGCACAGAGCAGGCCAAGGAAAGAACTGTCTTCGCAAAGATCCCTCAAACTAGATGGAGTAGTCTGGAGATGCTCACCCAGGAGGCGTCCCTAGGCGGCGCTGGTGAGCCAGGCATGGGAAGCAGCGCGGACGCTACAGTGAATATGTCCTTATGACCTGACCAAAACCCTCCTTGCCCACAGACCTATCAGCCGTGGAGCCCTGCCCAGGGCTGGGGAGGGACTTTATCTACATAAAAATGATGATGAAATGTGTGCCTGCCCCTAACGTCTCCCTTATCTATTCACCTTCAGTCCGATCCACCTTCAGTCCCATTATTAAAGATGCTCTTCGAGTCAATGTCTTCTCTTAATTACTATTTTTTTATCCTCACCCAAGGACATTTTTCTATTTTTTGTTCAGATAGAGTGGGAGGGAGAGAGAGGAAGAGAGAGAGAGAGAGAAACATCGACGTGAAGGGACACATCGAGTGGCTGCCAACCACGCGACCAACCAGGGCCTGGGACAAACTAACTGCAACCGAGGTACATGCCCTTAGCGGGAACCGAACCCGGGTCTCTCTGGACCGCAGGCCGACGCTCTAACCGCTGAGCCAAACCGGCCAAGGCAGAGTCAAAGTCTTCAAAAGGCTCTTATCAAATCACATAGTTAACATGAGTGACTTGATTAAATTAATTAGCTGTGTTGTTTATTCCTGGGGGATCAATTTTTCAAAGGATTAGACTGCACGAGGCCCTCCAGCATGGAAGAAAGAGGTTGAGATCTGAAAACAAACCCAGGTCAGGGTTTGGAAGCTCCCCTTTGAAGTCCCCTCCTCTCTCTCCTGAGCTCTCATTTAGTGGGGTTCACTTCGAAGGGTGGGCCCTGGGGCCGGCTTCCCTGTGCTCTGCCTCAGAGGAGAGCTCACCTGCACTTTCTAGTCCCCCCGGGACACCACCAGCCAGGTGACCCCAGGGTTTCCCTGCTCTGCAGTGGCCACATCCTGGTTCTACTGCTGGCCCTGGTTCCTGGTTTTACTCCCCAAGAAAGGAAAAGAAGGATGCAGCTGACTTCTGGGGAATGTTCCAGAAAGACATCGTAAAGGGGAGGGGAGAGCGAGGCCGAGAGAGCGAAGAGTGCAGGGCGGGACAGCGGCCGGACCAGCCTCAGCCCAGACTGCCTGCCTCAGGGCCTGGGTCACCAGGGTGAATGAAACAATGTTGCACAGAACTCTTCCAGCACCTGCAGGGCCCTGTGGGAAATAACTCAAGTCTTCCCGCATGAGAGCACAGATGATGCTCTGCTTTCTTCATTTGACAGTCTGCACATAGTGTCTCATGGAACGGCACGGCTCCGTCCAGATTCTCCATCACAGGGGGACAGGGCTTCAGCGAGAGGGCGCGCTGCCCTGGCGGGCTGGGGGCGGGTAGCGCCGCTAAACCAGGGGCTCAGCCTGGCCCAGTGTGGGCTGTTCTGCCAACATGCAGGCCGCGCAGTACCATGGTACTTTTTAAATTTTTAAAAAAGAAGCAAGGTATTTACCTACTTCAGTGAACTCTATTTGGAACAGTTGGCCGCTGATTTCAAAGAAACAAACCAGAAGAGTAAACGCTTTTGCAGGCATCCCAGAGTGGGTGGTCCCTGGCCCAGGGCCGCGGGGGCGGGTGCCTCAGTTTACCCACTGGCTTGCCTGGTCCTCTGATGGGCACTGGCCCTGTGGACTGTCACTTGGAGGTGTCATCCTCAACTCACACCAAGGGCAGATCCCACCGGCTGAGGGACTGAGGGGCTGAGGGGCTGAGGGGAGCTCAGGCCGACCCCTCGGATTGGGCAGAACAGACGTTCCCGACCCTGTGGAACCAGCTGCACCTGTACAAGCAGGAAGTTTCCGCCTTGGTCTCGGACCTCACTGAGATCTCATCAAAAAACAAATTTGGCATAATACTTGGAATGTTATTTCCCTTTTCCCTGTGGTTGTATATAAACCAAAAATTAAAAATAAACAAAGGGAAAGCCCTTGTTTTGTTTTTTTTTATCCTCACCCGAGGATATTTTTCCATTTTTTGTACAGATAGAGTGGGAAGGAGAGAGAGGAAGGGAGAGAGAGAGAGAAACATCGACGTGAAGGGACACATCGAGTGGCTGCCACCCGCACAACCAACCAGGGCCAGGGACAAACTGCAACCGAAGTACGTGCCCTTAGCGGGAACCGAACCCGGGTCCCTCCGGACCGCAGGCCGACGCTCTAACCGCTGAGCCAAACCGGCCAGGGCGGAAAGCCCTTGTTTTAAGGGCTAATCTTCCCTTTATCCAATACCAGGGAATGAGCTGGCTGTCCTACAGCGAGTCTTTTTCCTTTTCACTGAATTTCCTCAGTTACTTTTTTTTTTCCAAATGCTCATCTTCGACTTATTCCCTCAAAGTCTTCCACGTAGAACAGGATTACATGTCAAGCAGAAAATAAATTACATATTTCTTCCTATCTTAATCACTTAAAAACATCATATTATATGTAATACATAACATAATATAAAATAATTTGTAAAGTATACATTTCTTTGTAAATGAATGTTTTATTATTTTTTCTTATTATTGAATTTTGGGGTTGATATTGGTTAATAAAATTATGCAAATTTCAGGTGTACAATTCTATAATACATCATCTGGATAATGTATTGTCTGTTCACCACCCCTGTCTCCTGTAATTGACTATAAAGGTTATTATAATAATTGATGCTCATTTGGGACTCGGGATGGTGTTAAGAAGGCAAGAACATTTCTTTTGCGTGATCTTTTATCTCACGTGGAAATCCATGTGGTGTGAACAGGACACCAGCCTCAGCCCTTCAAATGTGCTCATTAATATATTTATATATATTTTAAACCCTCAACCGAGGATATTTTTTTCCCATTTATCTTCAGATCAAGTGGGAGGGGGAGAGAGAGAGAGACAAAAAGAGAGAGAGGGAAGGAGAGACATGAGAGAGACATATTGACTGGCTGCCTCCCACACAACCCCGACCAAAGTGGGGGACCCAACTGAAACCGAGGCACATGCCCTGGACCTGCCCTTCGGTCCCTGGGCCACCACTCCAACCTCTGAACCAAAGAGGCCAGGGCGATATTTTTGATTGAATAAATGAGCAAGTGGTGAGAAAGAATGACGACGAGTTTTGTCTCAGAGCAGAGAGCTGATCTTGGAGAAGTTAAGGTAAGTGTGTGTAGCTCATCACTGGGGTTCAGGTTGGAGCAGGAGCTGACCTTTCTCATCACCCCGCCGTCACCCCAGCTCTACCTTCGTCTTTGCCACGTCAGTGTACTCGCTCTTAGTACTTTTCTTTAAGTCAGCCCTCTCTTTCATTCATTCATATCGTCATCTGAATGGAAAACCAGAGTCTTTAGCCAACGTAACCCAGTATCACTGAATTCTTTGTTAAAGTTGCTGCGATCCTGGAGCTGGGGGCTGGGTCCCCTTTGGTGAGGAAGGGGGATTATGATGGGTTAGGAATAGTAAAGATCTCTTTCTATAAAATAAGGTTATTTTCGTGATACACCCGAAAGGGAGAAGGACAATTGAAAAGCAAGTCGTCTTCCATGCTCCTGCCAACCACAGCACACCTGGACACCGGCAGAGCTGCCCAGACTCGGGGAATCGGATCTAGTCCAACTTCCTCGTGTACAGGTGAGCACGGGGGCCAGAGAGCAGGGCAGTGACAGGCCAGCTGCGGAAACGGGACCCCACCACCCCACGTCCTCGAATTCTTCCCACCCGTGAGGAATGCTGATGCCCAAGCCCTCTCCCCACCCGGGAGAAATGGACGGTGTGTGGTGTGTGAAGGAAGAGGCCCAGGGAGCATCTCGCCTCCCCACCTGCAGGCTTGGTGTCCTCCGCGCCGCCCCCCAGTCCTGACACCCTGCTTCTTTGTAACACCCGAGGTGGCGTATACCTGTGTTGTTACTTTGCACCCAGGAAATTCTCTATATCCCTGCACCAGCCGTCCCCAGAGTCCTGCTTGGGGCTGGCTACCTGTCTCCGCGCTCGAGATGCCCACCACGAGGGGACACTGTACCCAGGACTGATTTCGGGGTCCGCCCCCGGTACTCACCGCAAATCTCTTCCCGCACCCCTCGTTGCCGCAGCACCCACAGCAGTCATTGTTCCGCAGGCCCAGGAACGCCAGCGCCGGGAGCAGCATCTGAGGCGAGAGAAGCGCTCAGAGCCGGGCCTGCCTGCCTGGCTGTGTGGGGGGCAACAGCCCTGATGGGGACTCGGTGCCCAAAGGGTATGGCAGGCGGGCGGGGCGGGGACCGGTGCTATGGAGTATTTAGACGCCATTTGGCCTGACTGCAGTTTCAATGGAGCAAGATTCTAAGATCTCACACCCCGAGTTTCCTTTTAGATTGTGGGTTAGCAAAAGAAAGAAATGTATATCCTCTATGGTCATAAAAGTGTCTCTCTCTCCATCAGAGGCCCCTAGTGTCTCCTGGAAACAAGGAACAAGAAGGCCTTGGCTGTGGGTGGATGAAGAATCCACTGACACCAGCTTCTCTCGGTGGTTTTCAGTCCATCCGTTTACTGGAGGGTGTTTTCACCACCACCCCTCCCCCCAGCCCCTCTCTGGTTAGAATTCAGAAATTCTGTGACCTTCCGTGTGTCTCCTGGAACTTCCCTGGGCCCTGAGAGCCGCCGGCCCCAGTCTTTTTCACCAGACTGTCAGGTCCGGATGTAGAGGGACGGTCAAGGCACTGACTGTCCACCAAGCCACCCCCCGGCTCCCCTGAGTGGCCGAGTGTCCTCCGGGGCAGTGAGGCCCGACTTCAGAAGAAGGGGGGCAGCTCCTTCGGGGGGATTTCAAGGCGTTTCTACTCACCAAGAGCCCGCTCCCCAGTATTCCTCCGAAATACCAGACCTCTTTGGAAAGGTATTCATTGTTGTCTACCACTTTTCCTCCGGGGAAGAATAACAGGATGTTCGCCAGGATGCCAAACACCATGAGGGGAATGAGGGTGCCCCCCAGGCACTTGGCACAACCCCCGGTACACATGCTGCGGAAGGACCGTGCAGGGCTGGGAAAGTGTCCCTCACTGCCTCCTGTCCGGGGTCTCTTCACAGGGACAGGCTGAGTCCTGGAAAATGTCCCCAGTCCAATCCGGGTTCTGGAGCCGAGACGCCCAGCAGCCCGCGAGCTGTATCGGTGGAGCTGGTCCGGCTTGTCCGATGGCGCGGCGCCTTGTGGTGACGGCTATTTGTACACGCTCCCTGACCTGCAGCCCTCCTTTATTTATTTATTTTTTTTGCAGTCCCATAAACGAGACTGTGTTCAGAGCAATCATTTAGCCATGGAGACCAATAACTCCTGTTAATAATCCACCAGCGCAGACAAGACACATTGTTGCCATCGAACGCGGGGCTGAAACCACAGCCCTTGGAACTACTGCAGCTTTATCTGGGGGCTCCCGCCCAACCAGGAATAAGCTCCCAGCTCCTCACAAAGTACTGTCACCGGCTCCGGTCCCAGCCGGCCCGTCCTCAAGCATTCGTGTGGACAGTGTGCGTGTCTCTCTTCACTGACAGCCGGGAATGCCGGGGTTCTCTCTCCAGAGGCGCTTGATGTTTTCAATATAAAATTAAGAATCTGACGGTCTGGTTGGGTGTCACTGAGCTCAGGCTCATAGGAATTTTTTAAACCATAAAATCCGTAACAGGTATTCATTGTGCGGTCTGACTGAGTATTTCTATACTAGCTACGTGTTAAGGTCTGTCTCCTTCCCTACCTGAGGCGGTGGAATTAGAAAACAGTGTTTGCCCTGGCTCAGCGGTTAGTACCAGCCTTTGGATTGAAGGGTCACAGGTTCGATTCCTGGCCAAGGGCATTTCCTGGGTTGTAGGTTCAATCCCTGGTCCTGGTCTGGGCGTGTGCTGGAGGCAACCAGCAATGTGTCTCTCTCCTCTCCCCTTCTCTCTCTCTCTCTCTCTCTAAAAATTAATTAAAAAAAATATCCTTGGGTGAGGATTAACAACAACAATAAAACCCAAAAAAACTATAAAACTCTTTTCCCAATCATCTTGCTTAGCTACCTCTGCAGTACAGGAAGTAAAACCCCCACCTTCTGGGGGAGGCAGGTTGGCAGGGGGCACAGAGGAAAGACTGGCGGGCAGCCTGGAGGCGGCCTTGGTGTGACGGAAGGACGCAGGGCGCTGGGACTTTCCTGGAAACGTTGTCAGTGCCCACGGGCCAGATTCAGTTACTTATTGGTGACATCATGTGTCACCGAAGAAGGTCTCTGTCATGCCTCCACCTAACCCTACGTGACGCAGTGATCTGCTTGGTCCTAGTGTTACGAAGGACTTTGGGGTGGAACAGGGAGCCTGCTAGCTCTCCGTTGAGCATCTAGAGGTTAGAATGAAAAAACAACAGGTAGACTTTTACAGGGAGTTGAGTTTCAGCTAAGTAAAGAGCCTCATTATCACGATCACGGTGAGTCCTGTCCTATGGTGGAGTTGGCCACCTCTCCCAGGGAAGTGATGAGCTGCATTCAGCCAAGGCTCAGGGACCTTGGCCAGGGACGCTGAGGACCAGATTCTAGAGAAGTCAGTTTCTGCAGATGCTGAGGTTCCTTCTGAAGATCCTATGACATGTGTACCGGTTGCTCTACAGTGATACTTTTGGAGATCTCAGGTTTGGGGCGAGAAGAAAAACAGCACATGTTTGTTGAGCATGCATAACATACTGAGCACATACCTGCCCCTCACCCTTCTGTGAGGAAGGTGTCGTTTCTCCTCTGCAGGTGAAGAAATGGCTCAGAGAGGCTACGTATGTTATGCAAGGTCGCTCCAGCATTATAAGGGGGAGATAAAATGTTAAATCAAGACTGTCACCAAAACCCAGGGTATGGTCTTCCTAATAGATTTTGCTTTTCAGAAATAAAAAAAAAAATCACCTTTTTAATGGAATGACACCATGTATATAGTATCTGGATACAGTGGCACATACTTCTTTTTGAACAACAAACAATTGTGATTTTTTTTCTTATTACAAGATAATATAGGATTTTTTAAAAAGAGTCAGCGCTACAGCCCTGGCCTGTTTGGCTCAGCGGTTAGAGCGTCGGCCTGCGGTCCTGAGAGACCCGGGTTCGGTTCCCGCTAGGGGCACGTGCCTCGGTTGCAGTTTGTCCCCGGCCCTGGTCGGTTGTGCGGGTGGCAGCCACTCGATGTGTCCCTTTCACATGGATGTTTCTCTCTCTCTCTGTTCCTCTCTCTCCCTCCCACTCTACCTGGACAAAAAATGGAAAAATGTCCTCGGGTGAGGATTAAAAAAAAAGAGTCAGCGCTACAGAAAAGCAGATGGAAGGAAAGAGAACCCAGCTGTGCCCCCCCCCCCCCCCGCAGGTTATTAATTTGCGATTGTTTCCAACTCCAAGCAGGTGCTAATGAGCTGAATGTGCCACCACCAGCTTTGCCGGGGAGCCTGGGGGCGTCCCTTGGAGGAAGACAAAGGTTCGAGGGATGTAAGGGCAGAGGTGACCATGGGAGACGCCACCTTGGGACAAGGCAGCACCCCTTCTTTCTGCATCTGGAAGTTACCACCGCAACATCTGAATAACAGTGGTCAATACGCAGCCTTGACGTCCTAGACTTTCTAGACGAGCCTCCGGAGTTGCCCATCTAGTCTCTGAGTGAACGGGCCCCAGTCAGTGTTCCCCTGGGGTTTTTCAGATGTGGGATGTGAATAACGAGGGAGAGGCTCAAGGTCGCTTGCTGCTCGGTGGACAAGGAGAAGCACCGAGAGACAGTCACCCTTCTGAGACTTCAGATGTGTGGAGGGTGACGGACTCTTATTGTCTCTATTCATTGTGTCCTCAGACCTTCAAGCAGGAAGGGGGACACCCAGTCTGGAGAGAGGGGATGGTGGTGAAGGGGAGGCGTGGTGACACCCACCCTCTGTGGGCAGCGGGGACACTCCAGGAACCGGAAAACATGTGAGGTTCTGGCCTCTCCTCGTGATGGCCACACTTGACGGTTCGCTGCTTGCTCTCTGTTTAGCAGCGAAGCCCTTCAACCCAAAAAGCAAGAACCGTCCTTTTCGGAGACAGCAAGGAGGAGGTGGTGAGACTGAGCTCCCCTCCGGGTCCGGTCCTATAGGACGAAGATCTCAGAAGTGATAGCAGATGGCAGCTCGGAAAGGGACAGAAGGACAGGAGGGAACCTTGCAGGAAGACAGGGAGACGAACGCACACACGGGGGCTGTTTTCCTGGACCTCACACTTTGGGAGGTTCGACGGCAGAGGAATAAGCCGCAGGAAGCCCAGGGGTCCTCCCTGTGACGTAGGCACTCCCTTCCGGAGCCAACAGAGCTCGGGAGTAGATGTTTTCCAGGTGACGGTCACCAGCGGAAGCGTGGTCAGTACTTAGGGGAAGCTTACTACTGACTCCGCCTGCTCAGCTCCTTTGCCCGGCGATGGATACGAACCATCAGTTCAGCGCAGTGCAATGCGGTCTGTGTGTGTTCAAAGCTCCCACAGTGTATCCACCAATGTGTGACTAACTTTGCCCTCAACAGTACTTGTGACAAGGGAACCCTGCTGGTGTGGCTCAGTGGCTGAGCATCGACCCTGCACCAAGAAGTCGCTGGTGTGATTCCCAGTCAGGGAACAGCCCAGGTCGTGGGCCCGATCCCCGGTGAGGGGCATGCAGGAGGCGGCCAGTTGATGTTCTTTCATCGATGTTTCTCTCTCTCTCTCTTCCTCTCCCTTCATCTCTCTCTCTCTCTAATACAATAAAGAAAAAAAGGTTTAAAAAAAGAAGAGACAAGGGAAATCATGACAGAGCTTAAATGTGTTAAATGCTTCTTAGCAGAAGAACTAGGAATCGGTTCTTCTGCTTGTCTTGGAGTAAATCATTTATTTATTCATTCATCACATCAGGGAGAAATTGAGGGGTCCCAACACATTCCTATTCAGGTGTCACGAAGTTCAGGTCCCCACCTCTACTTGCCTAGATTATGGGACAGTTCATAAAGTGCCTTCCAAAGAGGGGAAAGAAATAATAGACAATGTCAGTGGGTATGGCATGTAACAAGAAAAAGAGCCATTTGATGAAACTTTTATAATTTGTTTATAGGTATTAGGTAGGAATGCAACATGTTTTGTCTACTATAGGTCTCCGATCAAAACATAAAGATCAAAAGCATTTAGCGAGACTTAGTAATCTGTATAAAATGCAGATCTAGCCCTGGCCAGTTTGGCTCAGGGGTTAAAGCATTGGCCCGCGGACTGGGGAGTCCCAGGTTCAGTTCCTGATAAGGGCACGGACCTCGATGCAGTTTGTCCCTGGCCCCGTTTTGGGTTGTTTGAGTGGCAACCAGTCTATGTGTCTCTCTCACATCGATGTTTCTCTCTCTCTCTTCCTTTCTCTCTCCCTCCTGCTCTATCTGAAGATAAATGCAAAAATGTCCTCCGGTGAGGATAAAAAAAAAAAAAAAAAGTGAAAACTGAAGCCGGGATCACAGCTGAAGTGTGATCTGGGGAGACAGACTTGGCTGGGTGCATGCTTTACTGTTTGAAGCATGGTTAGTGCTTCATGCCTGGGTCATTTTAAGAGTCATCCATTGAGGCCACTTTCCTGGGAGAGGCGGGGCCCAAAGGCCTGGAGCATCCCAGGACAGGGACCTGCTCTCAGACTTCTCCGGCTCAGCACCCGCTGGAGTGGCCACGCAGCCTGACAGCGCCGACCCGGCAGCGTGCTGTGCCGGCCGGGCCAAGGGCTCCGCTGTACTAACTCATTCAGTCCGCAGAGCAATCCAGTACGAGTCCCTGTGCCAGGGACGAGGAAGCCCACCACCGTAAGTGTTGCTCTGGTGACGCAGCGAGGTGTCACAAACCACCTTAAAACTTTGCATTTATAACCATTTGATTGTATGTCAGAAATCTGGGTAGAGATACTGTGGGTGATTCTTCCGACCCAGCCGCATGATGGGGACGGTTTGCTCTGGGGCCACCGTGTGTGTCCATCAGGCCTCCCTGCCAGGCCTCCGTGAGGCTC